GTGTATAAAATTGAAGACAACATTCATATGGAAATGACACACAATTACACTTGCCCTTGAATAATCAACTAACCTATGATTATAAGAGGTTTCCAAGCATTAAATTTTTATCTTACATACTCTCTACTGACTGCCCTTAGTTAAGAGATACAGATGAGTGTGACTACCACTGCCGGTAGGAAACACATTAAAATATTTTAATACTAGCTGTGTGCCCGTTCCTTGGGACGGGGATCTTGTAGTCAGCTGAAACCTTATTATATTCAGATCTACAGATGGACTCAGCGCAATAGCGGTGGGTTGCAACCGAAAGTAACACATTGGAAAAACAAAATCGCAAAGATCTTCCAAGATCGCAGCAACATCCGCGATCACCCAGTGTAGTTGTGATTTTTTACTTGACACAACAGCATTCGAGACGCCGTTAATGAGTGGAAACCTCAATTGTAGGCTTTTGGCCCTGATGATTTAAAAAATGTAAGTTACCCAGACCTGTACAACACTGATTCACAGTCTTTTTCCCGGTTATCAAAACTGAAGTAGAACTTGATACACACAGAATCTCCAGTTCTCAACCTGGATGATGGCTAGTTATTTTATTTAATTTACAGTTATATATTATTGTACTTGCAATCAATCAAACTCGTTATGTAAGCCACATGGTTATTAATCTTACTTGGTTTTGGATTTGCTTACAAACGTGATCGGAAATGGTTACATAGTATTCGTAAACAACATTTAAACATATCAGTGACAGATAGAAAAAGAATCTTTATCCAAACACCTGTTCGTAATTTAATAGATGACGTATTCCTTAGCAGATTATTAGCATTTTATAAATGACGTATGTAGTAAACATAGGGAAAAAACTTTGATCGTCTGTTATTTTGTTTCCAAAATAGTGAGGCCATATTTTAATCGCCAAAGCCACTCTCGCCAATCCTGTGAATACAATTAAATTATTAGAATAATGATCGGTACTCTAGTTTTCTTGGAGTAGCGTAAAATGCCTTCTGGTCTGTGACAGACAGACAGAATTTGAGATAAGACTTGTTTCGGTTTCTTTAATGTATAAAACGTAAAAATAACAAACAAACATATAATTCTGAGCAATGTATTCAGACAAAACTCTAATCTAAATATTAATTACGTAAGTCGATTCTTTGCGGCAAAATTGTGGGTGACTGGGAAGTCGTAGAACTACGGGAGAAGGCTCAAATTTAAGGTCTTGATCCCGTGACGACGGAAAAAAAAGTGAAATTCCAAAAATTTTAACTCAAAATGAGATATAACGTAAAATGTTCTTCATAAGAATATCATTAGAAGCCATTTACTGCTGATCTTTGTTTACTTCAATACAGCTGATCGCGATTTATCACTAAGCCAGTAACCAATGTTGCATTTAGATTACTCATTTGCCAGTCAGTTCTGCAATGTACTGTATATATACTATATAAAACCAGGGACGTTACCTATTATGATTAAGAATTTTTAGTTACGTCTCAGTAAGTCAAAATCAATTGTTATACCGTGTAATTTGCAAACTTGTGTATTTTTAAGTAAATTAGCTAAGGGTATGATAAGTAGCAGAATCATAGGAGATGGCTCAAATCAAAGGAATTGAACTTAGAATGTCTGAAAAAATAATGCAGTTTTTTCTTCTAACTTAAAGGTTATTGTTCTGTCGAAGGAATGTTTAACATGAAATAACCACATTGTCTAAATAATACACGATTCAAGATTAAATGGAAAACTTCTGATTTGTTTTGATTTCATAACATATTTGAAGATTTATTCTACAATTTGTTTGTATATTTACAAACATTTTTAGTTTGAGATTTATTGTAGTGTTTAATCAATATTTTGTAAACGGCTCCTCCTACGGCTACTCCTAGAAATCAACCTGGGAATAAAGATGAAATAGGTTCGTACAGGCATAGGTACAGGTAATATATTTGTTCATTAAGTAAGTACTGTGACAAGTTTCAATGGGCGGAAAAACAACATTGTTTGGAGGAGATTTTAACCAGGTACTGCCTGCTGCTCCAAGCCAAAAAGGTAGTATGCATTTAGTAAATAAGATATCCCCAGACCCCTGTATTTTAAGAGGCTTAATAATAATAATTTACTAAAAGAATATTAAGCCAGGCACATTTCTTGTTTTAATAATGGTACAACGGGTGAAGTGCGATTAATACCTAGATGACATTGCCCGTGTGCCCCCTCCCTATTCCAATACGGGATCATAGTAACTTCAACGCGTCTCTTTGTTCTTACACTTGCATTGAAATCACGTGATTCGCCGTTAGATAAGCCTAAAAAGCCGAAAAGAACTAAGGAAACTGTTACAACTTGACCTAAATACAAAAGCAAAAAAACAACTAAATATTACACTTGATTTAGGGACGGGGACACGCTACAATTATTTCTATGATTAAAAATCAATAGCTCCAGTATTGTTCATGATTTTTATATGTTTTGGACTCAAAATAATCAGTAACGTATAGGCTTTAATTTGATTTATTGATCGTTTGAATCAGTTAAGCTCAAGATACTGTATCACTCAATCAAAAATCATAAATTTGATTTTCTTGGATAATATATTTATTTTAAAGCTGCGGATCAGCATGGGTCCTCTCCTAATGCATAAAAAACATAAGATTAAACTTTAAAAACATGAGTGTGTATGCTAAATTAAGTTAATTAATCATTAGCATTGATAACAGTTTTATTATTAATTTAAAAAGTGGCAATAGCAAACCGTATTTAGTAGATTTAAGAATTAATCTATATTTATAAAAGAGGAAGTTTGTGTATTTGAACGTTATGGACTCTGAAACCGCTCGGCAGATTGTAATGAAACTTTTAGGCATTATTAAGCATTATTCAAGGATGGTTTGTGTTAAGTTTGGTGCAGATCCGTCAAAGGGGCTCCGCCCCAGTGGCTCTGGAGTTCCCCATGTCATTCTTATGAGTACACATATTTAAATGGAATTAAAGAATCTTAACAGCTGTTTCAACTAAACAATTTGATTCTGTGATGATCAATAGTATTAAAAGGTTAAAAAATGTACCAGCAGGGTTCATGGAGAAAACCCAGCACACAGCGCGCGATCCAGCTGTAGTAATGATAGAGATCGATGCATATGACAGGCTTACTCAACACCAAATTCTAATTCACTACTTATAAATATGTTTTTTAACTCCATTAGCCCGGCTCAACAGAGGGTTGTCCTGATGTGCAATCGAGAAGGGAGACAGACAAGTCATCACAACAAAACACAAGTTATTTAATTCAAATGTCAAAAGACTGAGTGGCAACCAGACTAAAAGTACACTTTTATGACAATCAAAATACGAACCAAATTACTGTCTTTCCTTACTGAAAAATTGTATGAGTCTAATTAAAACCACCAATCTCCCTCCTGACCAGCACACTGCCACCTCTTTCTTAGTTGCGCCAGGCTTCATGGCAACTTATGTTATAACAACTAGTTACGTTTCAGTTTCAGTAAACAAAAAAAAACACTTAAATGAGCCTACTACTTTATCGAAATACAAAAAAAAAGGAAATGTTAAATAGAAAAGCTGTTAGTTGACCGAGTGAAAACTAATACATTAATTTGTAAAGAAGAGAATATTTGTATTAGTTTGATTAATTTAAAACAAGAACTGTTTTTTAGACAATAGAAGCTAGGTACTTACCTTCCATTTTGTCAGAATTCTTGCATCTGACCCCGCACTGACACCAATGTAACAACCACGCACGGGAAGGGTAGAAACTCAATAAAAGAATGCAGCTTGTAGAGAATTCAATTCTTAATTTATTACGGAGTGTTAAATGAACAAAAAGACTTTCTTAATAAGTTACTGACAATTGGAAATACAGAAAATTTAGATTAAACTATTTAAAATTGAACATGTTTGGGGAACTTAAAGTATCAAAGTATTAAAGTAAATGGACATGCCCACCCGCGGGGAAGAGAAAGGTAGCGCATAACCGCGACTCGCCGACACCTCAAGCTCCTCTCTGATTGACTACCCCAGGTTCGGCGGTCCTACACGCCACACAGAATGATGACCCCTCGTGTCAGCAAAACAATCAGGCCATGCATTCCATGCCACGATCCAAACAACCGAACGTGATGTAGCAATCGATGTACTCAATACTTTGTGACACTCAACAAAACCCCAAATAAATTGCAAGACAATGCTGGCTAGCGGAGTTGCGACACGATTGCCAATATTAATGGCAATACCCAATTCTGGCTTTGGGCTGTTATCCATAATAACACTAAAAAAATACGGTCAAAAACTGCCTGACCGTCACAAAATAACAACAACAAAAGCAAACAAAGACAAACAATAAACTGTTTTTCACAACAACAAAAAATTTTGTACAGGGATATCTCTCCTGACACATAGATAATTTCATTCTGAGTTTGTTTAAATATTACAATAATTTGTTTTACATTTGAGCTTTTCAGGAACTTGTGTCCCTACAAGCCATTAGTTTTATTTATATAGATAACATGTTTAGATGCTGAGCTGAAACTCAACATTAAAAAGCGTAGAGTCACACAACCTAGTGCAGTCGAGGAGTCAGGCCTTAATGTACATGTACGCTCAGTAGTCAGTTTGGTCCCTGTTTTGTAGCCTGTTCTTTTCAGACACATCCCATATACTTCTCCTTGAAAAGCTCAATGTTGAGAGGATACAATCTCACCTGGTAATCAGGTCTGATCCTGAGAAAACTGTCCTTGATCATTGGGCTCTTAAAAAATGGTCCTGGCTAAAGAAAAAGCCGTCCTTAGTCAGTAAAAGATCTCATACCATTCATTCAATGACCACCCTTCTCCTTAAAACATGCACACTGGTTATCATAGTTGTATAATACTAGTGAATGATTGGAAGCTTGCTGCCACATACTGTAGTTTCTATATAAACACTGACATTGATTAAAATTCCTTTTATCTACAACTGATGGATTCAATTTGCAGGTGGATGTATTAATAAGAAAATACAACCGAGAACAGTTAACTGTTTGGGGAAATTTCAGCAATAAAATCACCACCAAATGTTATTTCCAGGTAAGTTAATTCATTCATAAACTATTTTGCGTTTACCTAATATTGAAACAATGACTCCTCTTCCATAAGAGATCTATGTTAATGCTCTTTACATGAATTTTGTTTTGTTACGCCTGTCTGACATTTTACTAACACCAAAATCAAAAAAGATTCAATTTTCCTTAATAATCTGAAGTTGTGTATAACAATTTGTAACAACCGGTTCTATTGTATAGGCGGAAGTAAAAAAAAATAAAATGATTTACTAACTGTCAAAGCAAGATATTTTAAAGCTTAGAATTTCCAAAAAAGAGTTCACTCTGTTAGATCCCGCCCAGTCACATCTTTTGAGTAATGTTTGTCCGATTTTGATGAAATTTGGCTTACTGGGCTCATAGGATCGATTTGAAGCTCAATTAAATTCAGAGATTTCTTGTGCGTGCTACCATTCTAAGTCATAATATTTGTATTAATTAACTAAACTAACGGAGCCAAGCCACATCTATATCACAGCCATTTTGATGATCGAAATTTAGTAATGCATTCAACCAATTACTGTATACTAATAACTAAGAATAGGCTAAAAAACTCCCTTCGTGCCTTATGGGCCCGAAAGGTACTGTTATCTCAGTTTTTACATAATATAATTATTTAATTAATGATAGAAACCCTAACCCCTTAGTCCCCCCCCCCTTTACTGAAAGAATTAGAACATGATTAATAAGTATCTAATAATAATTGCTAATTCTACAACTTATCAGTATCATTCCCGTTTCTCGATGACGCCTCCGCTCCAGTTTCCAGGCCACGACTGCCCCTAACTCTACCCCTTCCCTACTCTCCTCCAGTGTACGCGACTAAAGCGGATTGAACCGGTTGATAGCGGCTCGGCTCTGACGCAAGTCTCACAACCTCCCCGGCTTGAACAAAAATTTTTTTGGGTAAGGTGGGAAGGTAGGGTTTTAGGTGGTGCCACCCTTGGTGGTTGGGCCGGACTTTGGGTACTCTGTGACAGTGGTGGTGCCGTTTGAGTTCGCGTTCTCCAGTGCGGCGCGTCGCGGCGTGGCTCCGTGGTGCTCATGGGCATTGCAGCGGCGTGCCAGAGCGACGGTCACCACTGTACTTCTGAGGGCTTTGGTGCTTTTCGGATGTCTGAGTTGTGTTAATGTCTTCCTTAATGCTACATTGACTGTGTCTTGATAATGTGCGTCTGGTTACTTAGCATAAAAAAAAAAACTATTTGTTCCCTAGTTGCAGAAATATACTTTTTTTATAACCTATGAACTTGTTGATGGCCCTAACTTATATTAATTTTAAACTAATTAAAAGTAAGCTAAATGTTTTGGCGGGAGTATATCGGTAATATATATATATTTTTTTATTTATTTTTTTTATTGTAATATTTCTTGGTACTGTAGCTGAGTAAATATGATGTTCTTCGGACGTGCCTGAGAGTTTCAGTTTGACGATCCTGCCATGACGTTTTGAATTACTGTATTTATACCATTCAGTCGTGTTGTCCTTACTCTTTTCGGGACTGTTCATAAAATTTCTTGTATGACGTTCTCACTGAAGCTGCTCCTATTGAGCTGGAGAGATGTAGGTGTAGAGATGTATATAGATTAACTGTGGTGGTAATGATCTTGGTGATGGAGATAGTGTAATGATTTATAATATCTATGTTGATGATGATGGATCTGGCAAGATGTGGAGACTACTCAGTTGTCTGACGAAGATCTTCAGCTTCATGAATGGGATACTTGATGAAGAATGCAGTTCTTGTATTCCCAAATGTCTTTATTACCGTATGTCTTCTATTCTTGATTAATCATTATTCAGTTGCTAGAGGTAGGGTGTTTAGCGTTAGCTTTCCACCTCTGTATTGGTGTGATTTCTTTCTTTATAATTTTTAATCATTCTTTATTTTATTTTTATTTTATTTTTTTATTTTTTTATTTCCGATATATGTCCTAGTGATTCGGAAAATATGATTTTGCGGACTACCCTTAACTATAACTACTTAACTTTAACTGTGAATTTTGTGTGAGAAAACTATTGATATATGGATGGAAATTACTATTACTAATTATTATGAAATAAAACTTGACTACTGGTTTGCTTATTTTCTAAATATTTTCATTTTAACTTGTTGACACACATTATCAGACTTTATATTTATATAATTCTTTCAAATGATATTTAAAATGAATGGAAGACATGTGTCCGCGCCTGTTTGAATCGTTGTTTGGTGTAATTTGACCGTGCACCTTTTTAGCCATACCCAATACCCAATACCTTCCTATTTTTACCGCCTAACTGAATCCTAACTGTCCGTTATCTTAGTGCCGTTTCCTGCTGACGAGATAAGGCTCTCGCTTGGGGTTTGGCCTTGAGACCGATATTCCATTTATTCTTCTGGTGTCTATTCACTTCCTACTGCACTTAATGTTTTATTTCACCTTTGATTATCTTATACTATTATATTTATTACCTGTTCCTCCTGAACACTATTTAACTATTTTATATTTAACAATTTTCCTTGACTTATAACTAGCATATTAAATAGATAGACATAGATAGATAGATTATAGAATACAGTTTAAAGAGATAGATCCGTGTATGTTATGTGTATGTCAGAGAGTGTGAATTAGTGTGTTAAATGTTTCCTTGCCCATCTTGCCTACATTTGTGGCCACAATCCGTAGAAAAGACTATCTCTGCTATTTCTTTGTGAGCGATATAACCAAGGGTAATTTATTACATAAAAAATAATATAATAAAATTATATTCTAAATTCCCTGGGTTATATCTGACTAGTATAAAAATAAACAATATGGAATAAAATATATTCTCACTCCGAATAAGGCAGATGCTGGGGGGAAATATTTAGTGTGATATGTCTTGGATCAAGCCACCACTGGCCGCGATCACTCTCGCTCTTAGATATGCCCTCAGAAAAGACATATCTTAGACTTAAGTTTGAGGTCAGCTGACCAGAGTGTATTGGTCGATATTTCTCGATGACACCTCCGCTCCAGTTTCCAGGCCACGACTGTCCCTAACTCTACCCCTTCCCTACTCTCCTCCAGTGTACGCGACTAAAGCGGATTGAACTGGTTGATAGCGGCTCGGCTGTGACACGAGCGTCACATTTCTCTCTAGACCATTTTGAAGACCTAAAAACAAATAATTTAGTGTGTTAAAGTTTTTTGTACGCTTATTGGTTATTGAGAAAATTCAAAAAATTGTAAATTTAAAATCCCTACGTTATTCTTATGGAGAATTTTGTAAATCGTTGCAATTTGCTTGTTTATTGATATATTTTAATAAAACTTGGTAAATTTATTTACAGTAGACTCCCTCTTATCCGGACACCTTTTAACCGGACATCTGATTAACCGGACTACACTCGGCGGAAATGACATCTCTTTAACCAGACAACTTTTATCAGCACATTGGTTTAACCGGACACATTTTTAACATTGGTTTAACTGGACTAGATTGGCAGGAAGTGGGCGGTACTGAAACAACTGTTCTCATGGGAAAGATTTGAGACCAGTTATCATGTGACTAAATACAATGCTCTCCTAAATTTAAGTTGAATATCACAGTAAACGGTCCGTTTAAACAAGTTTTTGGGGACGTCGGCTTAACCGGAAAACCCGTTATCCGGACTGGCCTCGGTCCCGAGGAGTCCGGATAAGAGGGAGTCTACTGTATTTCATTCTAAGCTATTAATATTCTACAAAAACACTCTTTATTGTATCAGCAAACAAAATTACTCGTTAAACCTAATGTATGTAACAAATTCAATATTTTCACTAATATTTTTTTAATAGAATAATTTAATTTCCACCATATGTTCTTCATTTTATCTAAATGTCAATCCCTTTTCAAACCATATATAGTAATTAATTGTCCATGCAGACCAATAGGTAATCAATTTAATACAATATAATATAGACATTTTCAAATAACATAATTTCATGTAAATATATAATAGCCTATAACTTTTGTAACAAAATTGCTTCAAATTCAATATAATTTTATTTAAATAACTTTTCAAAATTATAATATAGCTCTATAGCAAATGAAATTTGTTATAATATATATTTCGGTGGCCTACAATTTTATGTGATTAAGTCAGCATTGACATATGTGAGTGCAACAATGCATCAGACCTTCATCACTTCCAATAGAACCAAGATAGTATGAAGATGTAAATTGGATACTACATATTTAATATAAAAATTTTATAAAAAAAGTACATTATTCGGACAAAATTAGTGGAATTTGTTGAAAGAAGACCCATCCTTGTTACGAACATTAATCATTTATAACATCAAGAATTTTGCTGCAAAGAAGACATCAATTTTGGTGAGATCACTCCAATAGACATTTTTCCCTTTGGAAGCCATTAAAACTTTTTTTAGGCCTAACCTTTGGACATTTGTACTCAAATTCAAAGTCAAGAACTAATAGAAGCTTAACTTATTCAGAACTATTATTAATTCAACCAATCTATAATTCGAACATACTTTATATTTTAAAACAAAATTTAATTAGGCTTATATCACAAGATTAAATTCAAATGCCCCTCGATCACCCCACCTGAGATAAAGATCCTTGCAGTAAGTTATAACACTTGAACCTAAATTAAAACCATTGTAATAGGCGTAGCCTAAAGATTTTAAAGTAAATTAATTTCCCACTGTTTGTACAATTTATTGTGAACACTTTTCTTTTCTTTTACTATCAGTTTTGTATTATAATTAATAAATTTAAGTTTCGATACTGTACATGGAGTTTCCATTGTAGACCTAAGTTAAAGGATGATTACATGTAGCCTAATTTAAATATATTTAATTGAAAATAAAATCAGGCAAATAGAAATTTGCTTAGGCTGCAGGTTTACTGTGGTGGGGGTATTTTACAATAGCTATGTATTTTTTTTTAATTTATACATTTCATATGTAAACCTTGCTGTTAAGGGATTTTTCTTGTAGCAGGGCCACTACAAT